AATAGAGATAGCTAACATACACACAACCAGATTACAGTAACTTTACTTATTTTTCAGTTTCTTCCATTTTTAAACTCTTTCAGAGTTTGATTTTTTTGTGCAAAACTGTTTGGTTTAGCTGTCTGAATGTGAACTGATAAGACTCCCAAGAAAACAGACCAGAAGCCCCATCTTCTGTAACTGTATTAATTCCACCTGCAGAAAACATATCAAACTAAAGCCATTAGAAGCGTGAAACAGCTCTATAGCACAGGCAAAATAAGTAATGACTGTAGACCTTATGCAACATAAGCTTAGTAGGAAAAAAGTGATATATTGGTAACAGCTGACATGACCATTGGCTGCATAGCAGAGAACTGAATTGTACTTTTAACTTTGGAGAGGATACTGTCTAATGATTACAGGCAGGTACGCTAAGCATATATGCACGAATACACACAGACTGAAAAGATGAACAGGTTTCCATATGCCATATGAAATGCAAGATTCTAATCCAAGCTCACAAAACCCTATTTTGCCTGCCTGTAGAGATGTACTGTAGACCACAAAACACAAAAGAACAGTATGAGCTTGTTACTTCAATATCGCTATGCAATGCACAGAAGGAAAAATGCATTACATTACATGCAGTTTCATTTACAAAAGGGTATGTAACTCAAGAACTTAAATAAATTACAGCAAGCTGTAAAAGAGAGAGCAGCAACTTAAAGGGTGCATCTTTTAGTTAATAGAGAACTGGGGGAGAACACTTAACTTTTCAGGTTAGCTCAAGTTTCACAAAACATCACTGTGTCATATACAGCATTATGTTGGTTCTTTAAATCTTTACAAACAGCAATCAAGAAACAGCACACATCTGAGAAACCAGGCATAGGAGAGTATCAAGGTGGTATTTCCAAAATATCACTAGACATCTAGGTAAACTTTTAGACATCTGAACAACTTCATCTGACCCATAACCCACCAATTCACTAGCTACTTTTAGAGGCTGAGTGGTTAAACAAGGATAACAACTATTGTAAGACATCTTCCATTTTTTTTTGTTATACATCCACCAAATGTATTTAATTACAGAATTTTCAAATGCTGTTTGTCTGCATTTTAATGAACTGCAATTTCTATTCAAATGCACAAGTTATCTTCTAAGAAGTGAGTCATTCACCACTTCCTGGCATAATAAGATAGAAATGAAACTGCTAAGCTTCATTTCTAAGTATGCTAAGTATCTGCTGAAGCAAAATATGTACAAGTTTGTACAGCATCCTGCTTAGTAAAAGATTACTAAAGGCCATATCCATTACAAAACATGTTTTAGCAGTTACATAAACAAGTAAAAATGCACTTTTTAGTTTACTCCCTAAAGACTGAACGATAAGATGAAGTTATAATTACTGATTTAAGTCATATTTGAAAAAATAGGAACTGAAAGCTGCTGACTGAAAAAGAGGCGGCGGTATTGGTTATCCAGCGTGCATCTGTTAATTATTTCAGAAAGTTATCATAAGCAATCACAGAAATTAAAAAAATATTTATATAAAATTATAAAATAATCCTTTGGAGGTTGGACCAGACAACTTCTAAAAGTGCTATCCAACCAATATCCTCTGACCTTATGAAAATCTGAACCAAGTTTATTCTGTAATTCATCTCCTACATGTAAATAAAGTGACTTCTTAATTTTCTCAAATAATTTCTATACACATACACACATATGATGTATATTTATATTACACATGTATGTCTTTAAAAACACTCCCGAAAGGTGAAGACAACTCAGTAGTGGGAAATACTGACTATAAAGCAACTTAGATTCTAAAAAGTTAAAACATTTCTCTGATTACTATAAGTCACAGGTAAGCCCAAAGAAAGCAGCCACGATTAAAGATACACAGCTGTTACAAAACCTGTAATATAAGCTATAAATTTGGAAAAAAAAAAAACACTACAAAAAACACACAAAAGAAAAACCAGTAGAAACAAAGGAATTATTGAGATTAGTCATGAACAGCTGAATTCAAAATAATTACTGGCTTGATGCTAGACATGACTGCATAAATATTTAAGTAATGCTAAAGAAAAGTAAGTTATATTTTTGTTCTGCTTTCAAAAAAAGCAGTATGACATTCATTTCTTGTAATCATAAAGGAAATACTTCCTATTCTATTGGTAATAAGAAACATAAGATACAGCAAGTGTTATTAATCATACAATGTCATCAGGTCTGGAGAACCTGAATGCAGATTGCTTTTTAAAGTCAGCCTGAAACTCATGGGCAAGTAAAACTTGGGTGCTCGCCATTTATTAAAAATACTAACAACTTCAAGATGATCATTATCTAAACAAAGTTTAAAGGTGAAACTGAAGAGAACAGTCCATCGAGAATGACAGCAAGACTTCCCTGCTTAAGCTGCTACAGACTTGTATCTTTAAGATTGCTTTTAAATGTGTTCGGGTTGGTCTTCCCCACCATTTCTCTCTTTAAAAGAGCAACCAAAATATTTGGCAATATACAGCATCAGTCATGCACTGATTCTTTCAGACTACTGATGACTGGTGAGTGCATATAAAGCCTGACATGTTCTGTAAGGTATATTAATCCTCCTTTGCATCTAAGGAGAGAACCTTAACAGTTTTAAGCTGTAATAAACAATAATAACAAACCAAAATGAAATTAAATCTTGTGCTAAAGAGAGCATAGAGTCAAAACTGTACATACATAAAGCAGACCTTTTATTAGTTAAATTACTCTTAGTAGACATAAAGAAGAGCTGTCATTTTAACAAGGCATAATAAGAATGTGTGTTAAGTGTTTAGCTTGCATAGTTAGTACTAAAAGAGCAACCTGGACTCTTTCATTAAAGCTACTGCAGAACTCTTACTAGGAATAACAGTAAGACAGAAAGTACCAATATATGCAGATTTTTTTTTTTTTTTTTAAGTGAAGGCATCTAAATAGGTCTGAACTAATTGTAAACCAGTCAAATTTGATCAGTAATCAATACACAGCTAAACTTCTGTGTAGGACACCTCCCCCCCCCCCCCCCCCCCCCCCCCCCCC